AACTTGAAGGGCAGGACTTGACCTTCTGTAACAAGCAGAATTAACAGTGACACAGATGGGTTTGTGCACTGAGAAGGATAAAGTCTCTGGCACACATGGTGCTTTCCCTGATTGCCAGGCTGTTCAGAAATTGTCTCTTCAGGGGTTTCAGCTACTCTCTGGGCAGAGTGTACATGTGAGGCAAATGGAGTATATCCACACAGCTGCTCCTTATCAGAACCATGAACACCAGGAGCTTAATTCATTTTCACCACCAACTATATGAAAGTGGAACAGACTAAAATCGGAACAGTAAAAAACTGCTCACTATGATTAGGAAAAGTGTCCAGAATCGTGAAAGAAAGTGGCATCAGATAAGAGAGAAGTGACCTAAAATTGACCTAAGTGACTGGCACAAGAGATAGTAGACTACAGTTGTGATAACAGACTCTGCAATATCATCATAAGTAATAATAAAAGTATTGGCTGCAACTAAGATGGGTTTAAAGTATGACTGCATTCAGTAAGGGAAATATTTCAGATTTTTACCCTGGTAACATTCATCAGAGAATGCACAGAATGGCCAGAAAACACAATATTACTTTTTTTTTTCTAATGATAATAAAAAAGTCACTCCTGAAATTCAATAGATAGATACACTACAGTAAACACAGAAATGCTTATAAACAAGGACGAGTTTCTTAGCTTTACTACTTTGTATTGTTACTGTCTTTTTTCTATGTATAGCAATTATATACAACTGCTGCATGACAACTGTAGCACCATACTACCATGCTGTGATTCTTTTCAGGTTTAAATTCAACCAGAATGGAGGCAGAATCTGAAGATTCTGAATTGAAGATTCAGTTTAAAAGTTGCTAATATGTAAAAATTAATCAAAAGAAAAATGTCATTAATTCTCACTCTATGCATTACATTGGAAAGCAGAGGCAAGGGCATGTGCATTTGTTTGCACACTCATATTAATATAATTGCCAAAGAAAATGTTCAGAAGGAAATCATTAAGTGTTGACACGGCAGCAGCTGTACTTGCCAAACTAAATATGATTCAGGTATCAAACCCCCACAACTTAAAGACTAGAGAGGAAATGTTCGGTTCAGGTACTTGTAGTTTAACAGCTGGACTTGAAAATGACAAATCTAAACCCACGGATACATACACACATCTCATGGCTGCACAAGGAATGCAGATCTTGACTAGTATGCTTTTCAATGACTTCAAAGGACAAGTTTTTACATTCAGTCTAAGCAGTTACAATACTGACAAAAAAGAGAGACACATAAAAACATCCTATCTGCAGCCTTTCTTCTGTGACTTGCCAGATGCTATTAGGCAGCCACTATCTTTATGTCAGGATGTCTGTCTCACAGCCAGATGTACAATTATTTAGTTTAGAGATATCTCTAAGAGCTAGATACACATAGCAACTCTCAATGTACTCCCTCAGTTTAGGGCTTAGATGTCAGTGAAAGTCAGTTCTCTGTTTGTTCCTCCTGTTGCACATGACAGGGATTCCTGTTAAGCCTTGCTTATCAGTATGTATTTTCCACAATTCAAGAGACATGTCTAGAATAGCCTGCATTCAAAGACTGAGAATTCTCAGCAAATAGCAAACAGACATTGCAAAAACTGCTCAGCACCTGCCAGATTGAAAGCAGCTCGACTCTATTTCTTTACATTCATGGTTAACATCATGGAGTGCCCAGACACTGACATAGGATTAGGCCCTGCTGTGCTCGGTGCCTCACACCAACACGTGGCTTCTACCCCAAGGAGCTTGCACTGAGTCAGGCACACACGCAGGCAGGACAGTAGGGGCTGAGCTGCAATGGCCAAGTGCATTTTCCACTTTCAGCTAGCATTCCCAGTCCTCACTGCTTTTAGTAGCAAGACAGGTACCAGACTTGCCATTGAATTTGTATTTTAGAAAAAAAACAAAACAAAACAAACCTCCCCCCTCAACAAACAAACACAGCAGCCACGACAGCTCTGATCATTTACAAATTATCTCAGTTGCAACAGCTGAACACATAAAATCAGGAAAAAATTGTTCAAGTTCTCAGTTTTCTTCCCCAGATGAGGGTGTCCGCAATTTTATTTTTAAATGTTTCAAGTGACTTGCAACAACGTGCATGAGTTTCATGCTGACAGAGTTCCAAAACCCCAACGCTGTTCATTCATGTCATAACTTCATGTATAATTGAATCTATTTCTGAACATATACCCTATGTGAAAGCCACAAGTATCTTCAAGAACTCTGCACAAGTAACAAGCTAAAACAGATTTAAAGAAGGAGTTACAGATATCCTGCCTCCTAGGGTCAGACCCAGAGCTGTGCTTTTCTTAGCTATTATGCCTACAACTTTACCTAGGCTATCATAGTCATTAGCATCAACACCCACATCACTCAACCTTGAAGGCAGACAGAAAACCTCCCTCTAAGGTAATTAGAAATTAACATGAAGGAGATACATTTTATGCTAGTAGAATAAAGACAAGTACCCACCCACAACGGGACAGAACACTACAATACACAAAAACTCCTTGTCCTTCAGATAAATGAGAAACTTAAGCAATGAAATATGTATTTCAAGGCACAGTATTCAAGGACACACACACAAGTGACAGCTGCAGAAGCCTAAAAACAGTGTCTCCCCCCCAAAATATAATGCTTGAACATAATCACTAATGCAGAAGACAGACATGCAAATCCAGCATCTCAAAGAGCAGAGCAGGGTAAATTTGGAAACATATTAGTCCCGGTCCAGAGAGTTGTTTGTCAGATCACAGTGTATCTGCATCCTATTATCTGAAACTTGATACAGAATAAAAGCAATTAGATTCTCCTAGAAGTCTCTTTGGTACCATAGTAGCAGTGTATCATAGTATCTATACTGCAGCCTTTTACCAGCAAAACTTTGCTACTTTGGTAAGTCAAATCTTTCCTGTACTAAAGTAGATTAAAGTTAATGAGATCAAAATATGCTGACACAGATGGTACACTGCTTCTGACGTGTAAAAGTACCCCATGCATGGTAACATGCTCCTTCTGCTACCTCGTTTATCACTGCATGGCTTTGAAATGCATTTTGCAGCAAAGACAATTTAAACTTAAAACATATTAGCACTTGAGATACAAATTAACTTTTCTAATAGAGAGGCTCTTCTCATTTGGTAGCTAAGAGCACCATTTGTAGAAACTGAAAACCCAGTTTTACAGTTAGAAACCATAAGGTCCGGGAAATGACATGTTTGACTCTATTTCTTGTCAGTATGTAACAAGATCTAGAGAATGCAACAAACACGGGAATTAAACTGACTTGCATCTGTTTATAATAGATGTGGTTTGAACAAGACCCAATTCTTTACAACAATCTACACACATCTACTTACAAAAAAACAAACAAAAAAAAGGTTTTGTATAAAATACAGCATATTTACATTTGCAACAGCGAATGAGCTAGCCACACATAGAGTGTTGCAACAGGCAGACTCCAGCAGAGCCTTACCATCATTTCCTGTCCTTGGTGAACACACTAATAATTTCAGCACAACCACAATTGTTTAGTGCACACACAGAGAACATCTCCAACACCTAAAAGTCCCCTCCCACCTTTCCTGCAAACCCAGACACTATACAAAAGCATAAAAGAGATGACATAAGTGGGCCTAATGTAATGTGCAGGGAAGGCAATATAAGAATAAAGAGAATCAAGACTTGTGAATAATGTTCTTTGAAATTGAAGACACATGGTATTGGGAGAGCAGACTGGGAAGTATTATTTAAAGATATATTTAAAAAAAAAATTTAAAAAATAAAAAAGAAAGCTCATGGAAGTTAAAACTGTCCCTCCCCAGCGCTTTACAGAAAATGTCCATGAAAACACACGCTTTAAATACCCAAACCGGACTTACAAGCTCTGTTGAAATTAAGTAGAGTGAAACACTCTGAACTCTATGAGTGAAACACTCTGAACTCTATGATTAATCGATGAAAGTCAAGGGATGAAGCAACTGTTCCCTTTGTCCCTTCTCAAGAAAACAGAGAAAGAAAAACACAGTTACCATCATTAGCAGCCTAGGACAAAAACAAATGGCAGAAAATTACCTTACATTTATTAAATACTCTTCTCTCTAGCTATTCTAGATATCGTCCTAGTAAAAACGAAAACTTCACTGTCACTGAACTGTGAAGTACTGTACACCAAACAGTTTTCAAATAATGAAATATTTAAAAGCTCATATTGCCTGATTGGTCCTCACATGGAAATTAAATCAACCTAGCAACAAACTGGATTTAATTAACCTACTTGAGATAGAGGCAAGAAATAATAATAATAATGGTGGAGTTTTTTTCTTCTTTAGTTTACATGAGCACAGAGAACCACGGATTGAGTAGAGATCTCTGAAGTTCCACGGGTTTCACCGCCAGCCGGCTGCCGGGCGATTCCCCAGAGCCCGCAGCCGCGGGGAGAGCTGCTCCAGCCCATCCCCGGGGCAGCGGCTGTCCGGCGCGTCCCGGCTCACCTGGAACTCGCTCCGACTCGGTGCCACATGGAGCGCACGGGCAGGAAAATAAACCCCTGCAAAAACAGCAGCACCATCCCGGAGCAGGGAAGGTGTCTGAGTTGGCTGTCGCTGCGGAGCAGCCTCGTGGGGCTGTGACAGCGCGGCCGGAGACCCCGAGGGCCGCAGGAGGAGGCTGGAGCGGCTCGGCGGGATAAGGCGCTGCACCGGCAGCAGCCGCCGCCCGCCCGCGCCCCGGCCGCAGCCGCGGGCGCCCTCGCTGCCAGCCGGGCGGGAAGGCGCTTTCTGGGCGCAAAGCGACACTTTCCTCGCCTGCCGAGTTCGCCGGCTGCGCCCCCGCGGAGCCTCGTCCCGCGGAGCCCCGCCTCGTCCCGCAGCGCTCCAGGAGAGAAGCGGCCACCGCCGCCAGCCCCGCCGGGCTGCGCCCCGCCAGCCCGCCCCGTCCCGTCCCATCCCTACGGCGGACACCCACCTGAGCTCCGCACCTACGGCCCGCCGGGCGGCCCCGCCATGGCCCCCGGGCAGCGGCGCCCCGCAGGCAGCAGCGAGGCGGGAAGGAGCCCGGCAGGAGCGACAGCCGGCATGCAGGGCCGGTCCGCGCTGAGCCTCGCTCCGCCGGGCAGCGAACACCCACGAGCGGGACCGCCGCGCTCGACTGACGGCCCCGCCGGCCAGCGGGAGGAGCCTCCGCTGCCCCCGCCCCGCCGCCGCCCGGAGCCGCCGCCTTCCCGGCCGGCGGGGCGGGGGAAGGGGAAGGGGGAAGGGGTGTTTCCATGATGTCACGGGCAGAGCCCGCGGGCAGGTGGGGAGCGGTGCCCGAGGGGACGCGGGGACAGCAGCCCGGGCTAAGCCGGAGCTGAGCCCCCGAGCCCGCCTTAAGCAGCTGGGGCGGGGCGGGCTGCGGGCACGGCAGGGCAGGGCGGGCGCGGAGCTAATCCCGCAGCGACCCTGAGGGAGCCCCGGCGTCGATGCCTCCCTGGGCCGCCTGTCCCGAGGGCGCGGCTTCCCTCGGGAAGCGCGAGCGAGCGCCGGCGGAGAGGGATTGTCGGGGGATCGCCGCATCCACAGCAGCCTGCGGGCATCACTTCCCGCTCACGGGGAGCGCTTCCCGCGCCCCACCTCGCCATCCGCCTGGGGAAGAGCTCCTCCGCGGGAGAACCACCCCTCCCCGCCTTCCCCCGCTACCCCTTTCCTGAACCGGCATCCTAAAATTATCGTGTTTCTCTGTACCTTTTTTAAAAATAAACATCTTGAATGACTAATTAGATCCAAGCCGTTAGAAGTGCGCTGGACGGTTTCCATGAACCCTTAATGTGTGCACTAAATCTTTCAGAAATTGTTATTGCTTGCGAGGAGGTAGACGGGATGTGACCTCGCATAGCATTCACACAGTCTTTACTTAAAAAGTGCGATTTAATCCACACTTAGGAAATGGAGGGGGGCGGGAAGAACCACCTCGGTTTCTTTACTCAGACTCACATGCCCAGAACTGATCAGCTGCTTCTCAATTCCATTCAGAATTCGGTGCTTTTCTCGCCTGGAGGGAAACAGAAACCTTTTTCTTCATGAATACCATTCATACAGCATTTAAAAAGAGCAGAAGCATTTGAAAGAGCAAGCTTAAGTGACATCCCAAAAATTAGGAATTATATTCACGGATTGGAACTTGAGGTAGCATAACGGAGCAGAGTAGTACCCAGCACCTTGAACAAAATCTTGTAAGGGCATGAGAGAGGCTGCAGAATATCACTTTTAGTAAGGACAGTATCCACTGTAGGCTTCCCAAACCATCATCAGCAGAGCGACCCAAGCACCCTGAAAGCTGCTGTCAGAGCCCATCAGGGAGGGCTCCTGATGCCTCTGCTGTTGGCTGTAGCTGTACAGACTGACGATGGCTTAAGGAGATGCTGCCTACACAATGAAAGCTAAAACAACAACTTTTTACTCAGCATCCAGCATCAAAGTCAATGAAAAGCAACAGAAGTAGTTTTAGCTTTTATAGTATTGTTTAATGTAGCTCCAAGAAGCTGCTGTATGAGAGTTCAAGCATTGCCAAGAGGGTATATATCAGTTTGCAAACAAGTAGAGTTTAACAATAACATTTAGCAATTCCTTGGGTTTCAGATTTTATAGAAGTTTGACTTTATAAATCCCAGTTTTAAGACAAAATTAGTAGCACCTGTCATTTTAAAGAGCACAATTTTTGACCTAAAGGCACCAAACAGTCTGCATCATCCAATCAGTTAAGGAAAAATTAGACACCGGGAATATGTTGATGGTATACTTTTCTAGTGTTCCCATGATGCAATAGCACATTGTTAGGTAACAGTATGTTTCCTATGCATGTGTGGCCTGTTCCAGCTTCCACTGAAATCAAACTCAGACCACTTCTTAATTTAGAAAGTAAATCTACCTGAAGATGTACAATCTCCAGACCCTGCAATAAAAAAGACACAAACTGCAAAAATAAAATTCTCTTCCACACCAAAATCTCCATCTTGAGTCCTGATGTATAGATGTTGCCCTCTTTGAGGTTCCTGAAATATTTAGGACTTCTATTGTTCCTGTGTGAAAACACATGGACTGGATGCATCCACGGGCTGTATTATATTATTTCACTGGAGTTACATCAGGAAGGAGTTTGATCTTCTTATGGATTTAGGGCTTCATTTCCTTTCCTTTTGTTTTTCCCTTCTGTCACACAGAAAAAATGAAAAAATATTGGAGTGCTTTGTTTTCCGGTGGTAAAGAAAAGTTTAGAAATAAAGTAATAACCAGCCTTTTGAGAACAAGATCATTCTTTCTGTTAGAAAAGCAACACACAGAGAAATAGAGACAGTTCATTATCTGAGATAGCAAAATACAATGTGGTCGTATAGTTTGGGGGAAATGTATGGGCAGAAAGCCTCTGTGTGAATATAGATTGCTGGTTTTTTGTTCTTAATAGATCCATCAACACAAACTCATCCAGTTTATAATCATAAAAGGAAGGTGGTTAGGGTGTTCCTCAGCAACATGCACTTAACCTTCAATTTATCCTTGCTCTTTGGGTTTTCTGTTCTGATTGATGGAGCCTCATGACACAATAATCTTTCCAGAGCTATTAAGAAGAGGAAATCCATTCTGCATAACCAACAGGTATTTCTTTAAATTCAGTTTCCCTTTGATCTATTGTAATTCAGAATTAAATTACATGGTCTGAATTAAAAATCTACCAAAATGTGTGTTCTTTCAGCTTGCTCTTCCCTGTGGTTTTGTAGAGACAGTTCATAATAATGTTTCCAGTGGTGCAATGAAAGATATTGTCTTATGATTTCCAGCTTGACTTTTTTTTCCTTTAATTATTAAGTAAAAATAATTATTGCATCCCTATTGAACTCAAAGACATGCAATGATGTTTCATGTTTAAGCAATCTTAGTCTGGTGAGTGAGCCAGCTTCCATTCCATGTATATGGACCACAAAGAGAAAGGCTCATTATGAAACATAAGTTGTGTCCTGCAATTTGAGCTGAACAACTGACAAATAAGTTTTGCTAAGAGTTTCTACATTTACAGCAGATGAATATATTTATCAGTATTTGTGTGGCTCAGGTATGAGCAGCATGAGTTGTGCACATTGCAAAGTTATTGGATTCATCTGTCTAACTCCTCTGATGACTATGCACATGCATCTTCAGTCGTGGGCAGGAGTTATCTATCTTGAAATTCAGAAACATCTTTCTTCATGCACAAAAATAAATCTGTCCTTGAGAGCTTTCTTCTTTCCAGTAACCCTCCCCATGATCTAATTTCTGTCCTTATGCCAGTACCTTCTATGTTGTTCTTGGTCACCATTGAGGAGCCTCTATCCCACTGACAGTGCTTTGGCAAATGTTGCTGTTGTCCTGTTGCACTTACTGGCTGGTATTATGGAAGCTATTGGCACCACCTTTCATGTGTCTTTCTTGCTGGTACTTCTAAATGCTTATCTCCCTAGGCTGCCCAGGCCTCTTTTCACATGACCACGGTTACTGGGTCTCCCATGACTTGTTTGGCTTCCCAGCTAGAGTTAAATTCCCTTCTGGATACCTCTGAGGTAAAAGCATATCATATGTGTTGCAAAATGCATTAATTTGTGCAATACTTTTAGCAATCGTGATTGTGCCTTACCATTTGTATGTTGATAAGAGCTCTACAACTGTGGGGGAAAGAAGACCTGCTGTCACAGCATCCTTTACTCTTTTTCTTCTTACAAACTGCTATATTTATTTTTGTTTACTTATTCAGATGAGGGCAGAGAGAGAGCAGGAAGGCTTGTAGTCTTTCCATGTTGGCAAAGCAGGTGGGTGGGCAGAAGGAAGTCAAAATTGGAAGATGAAAAACTGAAAAGGAATTAATATCCACCAGCTGGGCACTCAGGAAGAGAGTTCCTATGCCAAATGGTCAAAAGAAGTTTGATCTGGTCTAAAATTTACAAAGCTGGATAGGATGAACCAGGCAGCAAACATTAAAAAGATGCACAGATTTACTGTGGCTGCCATGACCATGCATAGTGTATACCTGTGTAACATGACATGGCATACACAACATGACATGACATACATAACATGACATGGTAACATTGCAGCCTCTTTGCACAATGCTGCTCATCTGTCCCAGAAGGCACCAGTGCACACCAAAGAAATACAGAAGGCATGCAACATATGTTGCTCAAAAAAGACCCAAAAGCCAAAAATGCCAACTCTCAAGAATTCCATCTTTTGTGACTGTGTGTGGTTTTGGGCATTACCTGACACAGTAGGATTTCTGGATTTGGCACTCACTGAATTCCAAATAGTAACCGTCATGAGTATTAAAAGTACTTTTCTTGCTGTTGATTTGAGTTTTATTTGTCTATTTTACTTAGCTCCAGGGAAACTGTGAAGGCCCACTTGCATTCTGTCTGGCTCCTGGGCTTACTGCATTTGAGAGCCAATTTTGAATGTCAAGTGGTCACTGTGTGGTGGATGAGCAAAATTAACATCCAGACCTCTAGAGAAACAGGGAATAAAGAATCACTGAGTTTCTTCTTCACACAGACAAGGACCTTTTCCAAGCAGTAACTTAATACTGCTTTGGAAATTAGAGGAAACTTCCAGGTTTTCAAGAGAAAGTGAATCTGATTTTTTTTATTAGTAGCATTTTCCCTTGAGAAGAGAAGTTAAACAAACTGGCAATTGGAGATTCTGGATTTCTCAGTCTTGTGCTGGTTTCATACATACCAGATGCTGTTTTATAACATTTATCCTCCTCCCCCTCATTGGTGACTATTACTCATTTGTCCCAGTGTTCTGGGATTTTAGTATTTATCTAAAAGGCATTCAGATGGAAAAAAAAAAAATTAGTCCTAATTTTTTTTGTATTACTTAAGGCAAAAAACATCAGAGTACATGGAGGTTTGCCATATTTAGGAAGTATGTTTACAGAGATGTTGTACAGGTGTCTGCAGAACCTGGCAGCCAGACGCCGTTCAGCTGGCAGAGGGCAATACAGCCGCTGGGCAACAGTGGAATTCAGTGCACTGTAGGCCAGATTATCCCTCCCTGCTGATGCAGGCCTGGTTATTCAGATTGCTAGTCAGGTGTTCTGTCTGGAGTAGGAGAGACAGAAACCTCCTGTGGGGCA